TTATTAGTAAGTTGCGATTCTAGCCCTAAGCCCCTGGGGTTGGGTCGTGACACTGGGGGTGTCATTGAAAATCGAGGAAAAATATAGGAGTAAAAATGAAATTTTTTCTATTTACTATTAGAAAGTGTATATAAAGTATCTTGAAAATATGTAAAAATATTAAAATGTGTATTGATTTCAATAAAAGTGCATTGAGTTTAATAAAAAGTATCTTGTGTTCTTCAATTTTTTTTTTGTTTTTTACTTGTGTCATAGGAGCACTTGTTAGCAAGACATTTTTTTTAATGACCCGAGTGTCCGACCAACTTACATACATCTCGACTAATCTCTGATACACACAATGCGCTCCTTCACATGAATTGGATGAAGCCTGCAAGCGTGACCCTAAGTTGATGGTACCAAGCAAATGAGAGTATTTTTGACCGTTGAGTTCCTTTGTTAAGAAATCAAAGAGATGATGGATTCAATTTGTCTGTAGGTTGGGAGTAAAAAGGTTAGGTTATTAAAGGAATTAAATTATTCAATCTTAATTGGTGTTTAGTTTATTAAAAGTTGGTTTGAGATCAATACATTAGATAAGCAAATTAAATTTAAACACATTTTAAAATTCGTTAAGTTTTTCAATCAAATTTGAATGTTCACTATAAAAAATTAAATTATTTAAGTTTGATATTGGGTGGGAGCCGTAAAAACTCTGTTAAAAAAAAAAAAAACTGAAAACTCAAAATGGAAACACATTTTTTGTGTTTTCATTTTTTGGCCAAATTTATAAACTGAGACCACTGATTTATAAATCAAAAATTTTACCAAACAAGTTTTTATTTGAGTTTTTAAAATTTTTGTAAATATAAACAGAAAACTGAAAACGTAAGTGTTACCAAACGGCACCTTATATTGTTTACAGGTTTTCAATTTCAATTTAGATGTTATTGGAATGGATGGAATGGATGCTGTTTACTTATATTGTTTACAGGTTTTCAATTCCAGTTTAGATGCTATTGGAATGGATGTTGTTTACTTATATTGTTTACAGGTTTTCAATATATATTGTTGTCTATTTTTTTTGTTATTTAATTATTTAAATCCGTGGTCCTAAACCAATCCGTGTTTCAACGGATTGGTTCGGATTGGTTTCACAATTTAAACGGATTGGATTGATTTTAATTTTTCAGGAACCGTAGATAACGGATTGGTTCTAGTTTTCTCCCAATCCGAACCAATCCAGACCATGCATTGCTCACCCCTAGTTCTACTCATAATTTTTTATTTTTTATTTTTTATTTTTATACTGTGAATTTCATGTAAAGCAAAACTGATGTTATCATGGTATTAACTCTACAAAATCAATTGTTAAATCCAGAGTGAGTCCACAAAGCAATAAAACAAACCTTTAACACTTGAGGACCAAAGATTCGAAACGAGGTCGTTTCAGGGAGAAGGAAAACTGGGTTTCAAAGCCTATAAAACAAACAAAACAAAAGGCTTCTTCATTGCAACTCTCTCTCTCTCTCGGCTCGCTCTCATGGCCAGGAACTGCAACCCCTACTATTGTCTCTCTCTCTATAAATTCCGAATCTCATCCCTCTCTCTCTACAATTCCCCAATCTCTCTCCATCTCTTTCCAAAGAGCCGATTCAAATTTTCACACAATTCCATCAGAGACAGTTCTAGCACCACTATATCATCATCATCATCATCAGCAAGTGGATTCACTTGGGACGACGTTTTCAAAATCTCTCGCTCTGAAGATCACTCCTTCGATCTCCATGGCTTCTTCGACAAAATCAAAATCTGCAATCGCGGCTCCGTAATCCTCTCTCTTTCTCTCTCTCTCTCTCTCTCTCTCTATATATATATATATATATACATATATATCTGCTTGTGTTGTGCGTGTATGAAATTTGAATTTTAGGTTTGTTGCAGGAGAAGCAACATGAATTCATTCCGTTTGTTATCGGGGACCAAATCGTCGGCTATGTTCATAACCGGTAATTTCGTCATCTTGAGTGATTGTTATATGTGTAATATTGTGCATTTCGTGATTGATGCACTGTGGTTGATTGATCTGAAATGCTTTTTTTGAGTTTGAAAGTTCATTTTTTGGAAAATTCTTAGCTCTATGTTATTATCAAATATTAACTAGAATGATTACATGTTTGCTCATTGTGTATGGACTTTCCCTTAGGCTCTGTTACGTAAAATGATTTTGTCCGAAAACAAATTTTTGTTTTTGTTTTGTTTTTCCGTTTTCGGTTTTGGTTAACATTTAAAATATTTTTTATGACAAAAATCTGAATAAAGAACTAATTATAGAGTCGACTTTAAAAAGGAAAATGATATTTATGTATAATTTTCATGTAGAATTGAACACAAATAATATGGTAATAGCACTTAAAATTATGAATATAATAATAGGAAATTTGACTTTCAATGAGTAGATAGAAATGTGACACATCATTCATTACATATAGATTTTTTGTATATAAATTCTGTTTGTATATTATTACTTAAGATTAAAATAAGACAATGATTGAATGTAACAAAAATATCAATCTCAAACCTAATTCCTATCAATTACTCTACCATAATATATGTATATGTATATGTGTATGTATAGAGAGAGGGAACAAAGACGTTCAATGTGTATGAAAATAGTGATACTTGTATGTTGAGTAGTATCGACCGTGATGGACAAAAAAAATAAAAAATAAAAAGCCTATGTAATTTTTAATCGTAAATCATTTTACTCTTTATGATGAAGAATATTTTACTTACTTTTTAGCCAACCTAACAATAGAAAATAGGTCAAAAAAAATTTGGAGAAATTTTTTTACAGCGAAACAAGCGGAGAGCCTTAGTGTTTGTGGTGGTCTAATAGATGAAGGGTTTATTGTACTTGCATATGCCACCGCATTGTCTGTCGTAAAATTGTTATGATAAGAATTCTAGTTTGAGTTATGAGGGGGGTCAATTGTTCAACTTCTTAACTCATCTAGCAAAGAGGCAGAAGGTTGTAGTTCGAGTAAGTTCAGAAATTAATAGCTGCAAACTCTAATTTTAAGTAAAGCCTATGAATTCTGAGGCTTACGTGCCAATATGCTCCTGTTGTTTGTAAATTTGTTAGGTTTGATTGGATGCAACTAAGGTAACTTTGAATTCAATCTAAGGTATAGATTATTTATTGATGGGTTCATTACAATTATGTGCAGTTTTGCTGACCATTTGAGGAGGTTTCAGGATGTGTTTATTTTCCCTCAGAACAATTCTTTCACCAACCATGTCACGTTACATCCAATTTTGAGAACACCTGAGGAGAGGACTAGGGCTGTTGCAGATGTTGTCAAATGCCTAGGGGAAGAATTTATTCCAGGTATACGGAATGAGGTACATATTGTTATCACTGAAAGAAATGTTGATGCCATTATTTTTTTTAAAACCTTTTTGTGTATGTGGTTTTCCGTATTTTCCGAAGTCTCTATCTGTGTTCCTGACTTCTTGAAATGTCGTTGGGTTGAGGCTAACTGTTGAATACATTGATTTAAAACAGCTATACCCTGTCTTCTCATCCTTTGGGACACAAGTATTTTTTTCGCTGGAACGTGCAGCAGCTCCATACTTTGGGATAAAGGTGACCTCTTGCACTTGATGACAAACACTTTTCTTGTTTTAGTATTATTTATTTTTATGTTCTTTTGTCTTTGACAATTTATTATTAGCTCCAATCTAAGTTTTAAAATCCATAGAGAAGTGATAAAAAAAAGAGCTACTTGCCAATTTGGACAGGCAGGTCCCTAGTAATCCAACTGATAGGCAGTAATTGGCAACAAAGCTCACCTAGATGGGCTGTTATGTTGATTGAGTATAATGACAGCGTAAAGAGAAGAGTTCTGTTAGGTAGAGCAAAACCATGACCTATTGCTAAATCTCAGTTGCTAGGGAAATAAGTTTAGGTGGTCAGATTGCTAAAGTACTTGTGTTTTTGATAAGATAGGACCAATCTGTTCTGTCAAAGTATTTGAAATTACAGTTTCAACTCTTCTGCATTTGGAGTTTCAGGTGATCTTAATTCTTATATGATTGAAGGGAGGTCATTTGTTACTGGTGGCTTTTGTTATCTGATACACAAGCCTTACGTTCTAATTTTTTTTATTGATTCTGGTTGCTTCTCTCTTGAGCACCAAAACTGTCTTTCTCTAATTGATGGATTCCTTAATACGTCAGCAGATTTAATTTATGGAGTTAATGTTTGTTATGTACTTGTAACCTGAGAAGTCATGCATTTTGCTGACCTGTTGCTAAATCTCACTTGCTAGAGAAATAAGTTTAGGTGGTCAGATTGCTAAAGTACTTGTGTTTTTGATAAGATAGGACCAATCTGTTCTGTCAAAGTATTTGAAATTACAGTTTCAACTCTTCTGCATTTGGAGTTTCAGGTGATCTTAATTCTTATATGATTGAAGGGAGGTCATTTGTTACTGGTGGCTTTTGTTATCTGATACACAAGCCTTATGTTCTAATTTTTTTTAGGGCAAATTAGAAACACCCCCCTCGAGGTTTGGTAAAAATACAGATTCCCTCTGAGGTTTGAGAAATTACAAATTGCCCCCTGAGGGTCAAATTTTCATAACAAATTAGGAAAAATTAGGGGGAATCTGTATGAGAATAAAAATCTCAAGGGACAATTTGTTATGAAAATATAAATCTCAGGGGGCAGGATGTAATTTCTCAAACCTCAGGGGGAATCTATATTTTCATCAAATCTCGAGGGGGGTGTTTGTAATTTGTCCTTTTTTTTATTGATTCTGGTTGCTTCTCTCTTGAGCACCAAAACAGTCTTTCTCTAATTGATGGATTCCTCAATACGTCAGCAGATTTAATTTATGGAGTTAATGTTTGTTGTGTACTTGTAACCGAGAAGTCATGCATCTTGCCTTGATTACCTCAAAATGTATTGACTTTAGCATGAATGTCCAGTTTTTGTATAATTTTTCCTTTCCCTATTATATTTGTGGCAGTGCCATTGTTACCTTGATGTACCTTTTTCCTTCCTTTTTCAAGAATAAAGAAAATTTGATTTTACATCTCCAAGCTTCCAAGATATCCTTATAGTGCATTGGCAATATGGCATCCATGCCTTGGAATTAGAGGTCATTGTAGTTCAGAATTTGTATCGTGATGGCCTTAAATTTCACATGCAAAGCATGAATTCCATGCTTCCAAACACATCATTTATCCTTTTAACAGAAGGCTATGTGATTATTATAGCCTGGTGTCTCCAATGTTATTACTGCTGATCAATATACTTTCTGCACTCTTTTGAGTGTGTGACTGCATGTGTAATTTCCCCCCCTTTGTGAATTGCCCTTCCAATAATAGGCTTTTGGAGTTCACATGAATGGCTATGTTGAAAGAGCTGGGCAGAAATATCTGTGGATAGGGAAGAGAAGTGAAGTGAAACCCACCTACCCTGGGATGCTGGATCATCTGGTTGCTGGAGGACTGGTCAGTAGCTATCTTTTAATTCAAGCTTAATTGGTAGTTTTCCTCTCACTGAATGTGCATATAAATCAGAACAATTGAACATTTCTTTGTTCCGACATGTGTCATAAATTGCCCTGCCACTTTGATTTCTTTGTATGCTTTTGTCGAAGGATTTCTTTACCACTGGCTACCTTTCAGTTTAGGTTTACTTGCTGTAGCTGTGCCATCCCTTAATGTGCATGTAAATCTAAATAACTGAATATTGTTTTTGTGGGACATCTATCCCAAATTATCTTGCCCTATTTTAATTTGGGAGAATTATTGTCTAGAGGAGAGTAAAAAAAAAAATTATATGGGGGTGCAAGTGATTCTATAGTGGGGGTTCAAGTGAAAATTTGTGAGGGTGCAACCATGTTTCTTTAATTTTTTTTATTCTGACCCACTGGGCAGTAATTCCCCCTTTTTAATTCTATGCATGCCTTTCTCAAAAGGCTCCCTGGTGATGATGAATCATACCCCCTTTATTTGGAGGATTGCTCAATCAAAATGAGAAGCATGGCCTTTTTATCGTCTCAGACTTTTTTCTTTTCATTTTTCTTGTTTTCTATCGCTGATTTTGTTTCAAAAATCTTTTGGCACATAATTGCACGATGGTATTACAGCCTCATGATATTGCATGTGGGGAGAATCTTGTAAAGGAATGTGAAGAGGAAGCAGGGATACCGAGTTCCATTTCCAATGAGTAAGCTTTTCTTTTCCTTGATACTATTATTCATTGTTCTAATACACCTTTTATGTAATAGAAAGTTGAAGTTCTTCACTGACATAAGATTCTGTCACCTCTAAGTCCTTATATTCTAGTTCTTTTTGAACTGCATATTGATGGAATCAGAAGTGCTTGTTTCACAGAGCTATACCCGTTGGTGCTGTCTCCTACATGGACATTGATGGATATAGATACAAGAGAGATGTTCTATTTTGTTATGATTTAAAACTTCCTGAAGGTTTTATTCCTAAGAATCAAGGTAAGCCTTCAAAGCCGTCTTTCCCCACTCCCCAACAGAGAGAAAATGTCATTAAATGAACAAATGAATGAAGAAATAAGTAGATATATAAAGTTTGGCTTCCTTCAACCATGGATCTGAGTTTATAAGCTAATACTTCTTCATTTTACTAATCAATATTGGAAAATGCTTCTCCATATTGAACTGTTTGTTCCCATTTTATCTTCATTATTAGCTGCAAAGCTCCATTTTTTGCAATCACTTGTTACATGTGGCAGATGGAGAGGTCGAGAGCTTCAAATTGATACCCGTAGCAGATGTTGCAAATGTCATACGAAGAACGCAGTTTTTCAAACCAAATTGCAATCTTGTCATCATTGATTTCCTGTTTCGACATGGGTACATTTTTCTGCTTTGTTGTTTCTTTTATTGCTTTTTTTTTATTATTTTTATTTTCTCACCCTTGCGTAGGCCTTATTTGGGAAATTGGCTATTTTAGTAGACTATTTTAATTTTTGAATATTTTAGTAGGCTAAAATAGTTGTATTTGAAAAGATAGTTAGATTTTTTTTGTAGTTGGATGTGATATTTGTGAGAGAAAAAGTGAAATAATTATGAATTTGATGTGACATTTTGTCTTATTAGCTATTTTAGTCTATTTTGTCTTTTTGTAAATTTTAGCCCAAAAAGCAAAAAAAAAACCTTTGCCAAACAAGTTTGTGCATCCAAAATCGTCCTCCCCGTAATAATATGCAATTAACTGTAAGTTTGTGAAACAAAAGCTAACTACCATTACACACTCCACTTGTGTCACAAAAGACAAATTGAAACGCTTTGGCTTTGAGACTCTTGAGTCATTAACAATACATTAGGGTAGAATTGTCATTGTTGTTAGGGCTTGGGGCCATAATCAACCCCACAAATCAGCCAAGATTTCACACTCTAAATAAATTGTTCTCGTCTTTCCACTTAATTTCTTAGGGTCTAACTAATAATAGTAGTTGCTCCCTTTCCTTCTCTTCTTCCTCTGCAAATAAATAAATAAATATTAGAACAATAAAAAATAAAAATAAAAAAGGGAAAGAAAGCTCCTGGTTGCATTTGTTGCTGGTTGTTTTGATTCAAGGCAAGTTTTTAAGGAGACTTATCTTTGAAATTAATGTGATTGATTGTATTTTCTGTTTTCGTTTAAATAAAGCTCAATTACCCCCCAAAAAAAGTGATTGCTTGATTTGTTCTACATATCTGTAGGTATATTAGACCTGAAGAGTTTGGGTACTTGAAGCTGCTACAGAGTTTGAGGATTGGAGATTGTTCCTAGACCGATATACTCCTTTTCTTTGGAAGGAGAGATAGGCGTTGAATATACATATATATATATATGCAGGCTTGTTGAGTTTGGTTTCCAGCAACTTGGAATTCTTCCTACCGACGGACCAAAAACGAGATTCTATTGTGCTTCTTGCATGAGTAAATCTCAACGAAAGTAATATTATCGTTTCGAATTCATGATTCAATTTGTATGTCTAAGCAAGTCTAGTTTCAAAAGAAAATCGTGTACACATTTTTTTTTTCAAGTGATTATAAAAAAGATTCAAACTGCTTAAAAATATATTGAATGAGAAGAGAACAGAGCTTTGGCCTATTTTTTTGAAATTATAGCCACTGGATTTGCTTGGGAAAACAAAATCATTAAAAATCAATAAGCTCAACCACTTGTTTTTATTTGATATGACCACAATATTCTTTATATGCTATAACTGAAGTAACTAAGACCTCATGACAAGGCAGAGATGCAAGTCAAGCTTTCAGTTCCTCAATTTTTGGGGCCAGTGGCTCAAAGAGTGCTTCCACCTCTTTTGGGTCTACTTCGTCGATACTTGGTGGGGCCCACTTTGGGTTCTGCAAATGCAGAAACAAGAAAACCAATAGTAAAATTCTGTTTGAGACAAAACTAGCAATCTCCAATCCTATGCTTGGATTTAAGATTTGTCGCGGTAAAGGAAAAGGAAAAGAAAATCAAATTACTTGTAAAAAATCATTTTTTATGGGTAACCGAATAATACATGCATATATATGCCTAATCATTTTGTTTTCAAAAGTGCAATTCCTTGAATCAATAAATTAGAACTTCCTTGATCCTCTGTCATAAAGTGAGAAAGGAACTACAAATAAGGAGCAAACCTGATCCTTGTCCACCAAGACTGCACGGACACCTTCAGCGAAATCATTTCGAAGGGAAGATCTTATAGCAATGCGATATTCAGTTTTCATTACACCAGTTAACTGGGTACAGTACAGCCAATTGCAGAAAGAACAAATGTTGTTGGTAATCTAGCAGAAAGGATTTATCCAAAAAAATCTCAAAAAGGAAAAGCAGTTCCAAACTCACACTGGATAGATCATTGTCTTTGCCACTTGCAGATGCAACTCTGGAGAAATGTTTTTGTGTTAAGCAGAGAGAAAATGGAGCACCTTTTCCAAGCGCAATAAGGGCATCGTTCGCCCATTCTGCCACTGTTCATAGAAACAAGGACAACTAGTATGAAGGCTGAAATTAAAGAAATGACCTAACACTATCTGTAAGATTTAGGGCAAAATTTTGCTTTACACCCCTCCGGTTTCCTCCATGTTCAGTTTACCCTACTGTCATGTAGAAGAAAGTTCATAGCCCCTTTGTTGTTTATGGACTAAAGTGCATCGTTAGACATTCCGTCCTAGTTAACATCAAGTGCGAAACACCTGTTAGGATATAGGGGAGTCATGTGCTTATTTCCAAATGTCAAAGGATAACCCGAACCTATGAAGCATGGATACTTCGAAAAACATGCCGTGCTTGTACTAAGTACTTACCGGTGTACCGTATCTCGTATGGTACTTCTACATATGTACTGGGTACACGAAACACGTACCCAGGTTTTTTTTCTTAATTTTTGGCGTACCCAGACATACTTAGTATATATCTAAGCCATATCGTACCTCAGTTGAAACAATATTTTTCATCTACTACAAAGACAAAACTCATTTCACTAGACTTATTTTTTATTTTTTGTTTTATGTTTAGCATGATTTTAAAATTAAACTATGATTTGTAAATTATTTAATATATTGCCATTTAATTTTGATTTATACATTTACTTTTGGCATTAAATGTTAATTATAGGTTGGACCTCAACAAATTAAACCATTTAATTAATTTTTGCATTATTCTAAGTTAAAAATAAATATTTTTTTACAAGCGTATCAAGCCGAAGCCGTACCCGTACCCGTACCCTATTTTTTTCAATTTTACCGTATCGACGTACCCATATCGCATCAGTATCAGTATTCGTATCTGTACCAATGCTTCATAGACCCGAACATAGAGTAAAGCATAAAGGGTTAAAGTGAAGTTTGCCTCCTAGAAAAATGATGAAAATGTCCATGGTCTGCACGATGAGAATACTTGTGTACAAGAATATTTTAGTCCCTTCACTTAAGTTGTTAACAAGCCTGATGGTGCAGTTTAGTCCACAACCATAGGGAGGGTTATGCGCACAATGGCCAAACCACAAGGAGCTAAAGTGATTTTACCATTAAATAAATGATATAACAGTACCTATAAGATATATATACGTCACATTCTCATATTGATAGACAACTAGCACTAAGTAGCACACCTGAGGCATCAGTGCTCAGCTGATGCTTTTTCAGCTCTTGTATTGTTTCATTAACAGATTTATTTCCGGCGAAGGATGAAGCTATTTGAGGTAAAAGCTGTTTCAACTGGGGCTCAGACTCTGGGTAACTGCTGTATCTTGCCAAAAGTGATGTGATGTCCTGATGTGGATCCTCAGAACTGCATGAATAAGAACAATATGCCTTGAATACATGAAAACAATCTCTCTTAAATTTGCAGAACACAGCAGATTAGCTGAGCATTATTTCCATATGATGTCAGCAAGTATGAATATGAAAAATGAATCACAGATTTACAGAATGAAAATTCATCAATTTGTCAAAGAAATGGCATCTTCACAGCTCCATGTCTAGGAAGACATTGACCAACAACAATACTAATTTACTATCACTAAAGACATGGATGCTTACTTATATCAAATCGACAGTGTTGCACACCAGTTAGACATAAAACAGAGCATTACTGAAGGTTTTAGTAAAATATATCGGGTGGTGAAAATGAAGGTAAGTAACATATATTGGGCAAATGAAACGTAAGGTCATGCAGTGTAATCGATATGACGTAATTCTGATATATCAAATAGACAATTCAGTTCCACAAAAACAAAGCTGAATGAAGACGTGAGACATACAAGGTGGCTGCCAAGAGATTCTCCTTCAATGAACCCAAGTTCGTAGATGGTATGTAGTCCGTTCCAAGACCTACATAGAGTGCATCAGCAGGTGTAGAAATCCTTTTTCCAGTCATTCCAAGATAAGCACCTGCAAAAACTTTCTTTGTTAAATAAAATGGAAAAACATAGAAAATATACTAAACATAAACCCAAACATAACCCCCCCCCCCCCCCCCCCCAAAAAAAAAAAATTTCAACTATCTATTGCAAGACTACATTACTCCATAATATAGAATCTAAGAAGCACGGACACAGATACAGATGCGGACACGGGACATGGTGATTCAAAAAAATGGAGGGACACAAACACGGTGGGGACACAACAATAAAATATATTTTCATATATTTTTATTTACTATCTAGATTAATATTACATCCACAAACAATCAATATTAACAAAAAACTAATTATATTTTTTTTTTACACTTTTAAATTCACACTTGCAATTTATATCTCCTTTTTTTTTATTATAAATGATCTATTAAGTATTTAAATCTAAGAAAAAAATAATAAACATTCAATATTCATCAAAAATACTAAATAAAATGGAAAAAAAAACAACTTGGCATGTCCCTAGTATGTCCCCAAAGTGTCCGTTGAAAATAAATTAATTAAATAAGGGGACACGCCATGTGGTGTGTCCCATACGTGTCCCCGAAGTGTCCGGGTGTCCCCAAAGTGTCTGTGTATCCAACACGGATATGGCATTTGCTTTGAAGTGTCAGTGCTTCATAAGATAGAATCAATCAACTGTCTAGAATGTAGAAATAAAAACTCCAAATGATTGTTTGCTAAAAGATAAAATGAAAATGTTCCTTGAATGGTGGTAGCTGGCGATCATATTTCAATACACTAATCATGTAAGAAAAACAGGAAGTTGGAATACTAGCATACAAGGTGAAAGCTACATGGCACACCAACTTCAGCAAGCACAACCCATTAAGGTCACCCATTAAGGTCTCCCACAGATGCGGGACTCACAGCTAATATATAGTATTAAATTAGTATTTATTTACCCTTATTTTTTTTAATCTCTTTCTTAAGAGGTGTCTATGTGGCACTCTGTATAGTTTTATACTTTTAAAATGGCACGGCAAAAGGGTATCGAGAGTTGACCCACTATATTTACTTATTATTATCTAATTAAGTTCCTTATTCATATAAAATTTCAATACAATATATCTAACGAAGAATTCTAAATCAATTAACTTAGCAATTTCCAGATCCAACCAACTAACAAATTAAAAATATTTATTTACGTTTAAAAATTAACATTTTGATTTTCATTTTACTAGTAACAAGTTCCTACTACAGTCACACCCACACCCACACCTACTCTCTTTATAGGCTTAGTTTTTATTTAAATATTAATGAGTTTTGTTTGTTTTGTATAATGGTGACGTAAACATCGAGAATTTAAAATATATATATATATATATATATCTATTTATATCTATCGCGTTACGAGGGTCAAGAATCAAGAACCAACAAACGCTTAATTTATTAGGGGGTCTTTAAGCACTAGAAACTTCAAATTGTCGTATATAGCCTCCTTTGCTAATTGATCAGGAACTGAAAGTTACTCAAATCAATTACATAATTTAATAAAATTTTATCTTTTATTTTACTTTTATTATGTTAAAACTTTCAATAAAGCAGGAGGCCAGGGGGTTAAGTGATTGGTGACTTTCAATAGAGCATTGTTAGGAAAGTGGTTGTGGCATTTTGCTTCGAAGCATGATAGATTATGGTGAAGGGTGATCACTTATAAGCATGGTTTGGGTGGGGGGGATTGGGTTACTGGGGATGTGACTAGTTTCCATGGGTGTGGGCTGTGAAAAGGGCTCGGCTGGGGAGGGTGGAGTTTTGGAGGTGGGTGGGATTTAGGGTGAGGTATGGAGTGAGGGTGAGGTTTTGGAAGGACAGATGGCGTGGGGAGGTTTCTTTGGAGATCCGTTTCCCGTTGATCTTCGCCATTGTAGTTGATCAGGGGGCTGCGATGGCATGTTATTTGGGGGGTGGGGGTGTGGTGGTTTGGGATATTCAGTTGTGACCGCAGGTACAAGATTAGGAGGTGGCTTAGTTGGTGGAGTTGTAGGGTTTCTTGTATGGTTTGGGTCTTACTGGGGTGGGGTCTGATGTTATGGTGTGAAATGCGGTGGGGGCCATGGGACAATTCACGGTTTATTCATTCTATGGGGGTTTGGTAGGGGAGTGTGATAGGGTCAGTGTTTTAAAAGGCTCCAGGCGCATTGAGGCGATAAGGTCTCTTATAGCCTAAGCGCGGGGCGCGAGGCGAGGCACGCGCCTCACCAAAGCAAGGCGCATGTAGTAAAAGCAAAGCAAAGCAAAAGTATAAAATAGATAAATTTTTTAGCATAACAAATATATGTAGTCTATTAAAATATAATATCCAACAAAAGGTATAAAGTATCACATTTAGATCCACCAAAAACCTTATGTACTAAGATCATCCACATAAAATTAATTAACACAAATCATTAAAATTAATAAAAACAATTGTTCCATAAATTAATTAGCAATATATATATATTAAATAAATAAGATAGAAAAGCCAAAAAAAAAATTTGAAGAAGAAAAATAAAAAATAAAATAGAAGGGGGGGGGGGGGGTTTAGAATCAGCCAGCATAAAAGAAGAGGAAAAAAAAGAAAAGAAAGAAAAGTCACAGAGAGGATAGGATAGAACAGAAGAAAGAGAGAGAGTGACTGAGAGACAAAGGAAAGAAGAAGAAGAAGAAGAAGAAGATCGAAAGAAGAAGAAGAGAATCGAGCACTAACCAGCAAGCAGCAACCGGAGAGCAGCAAGCAACAAGCGAGCACTAACCAGCAAGCAGCAACCGGAGAGCAGCAAGCAACAAGCAAGCAGAGACCCGCAAAAGCAACAAGAGGAAGAAAAGCAAAGCGCATAAGGTGCTCGCCTTGAGCCTTTACATAAAGCGCTCGCCTCATTGCCTGGACTGCACCTCCTCTATGTCGCCTCGCTCGCCTCGACTCGAGCTTAGGCGCGCTTTTCAAAACATTGGATAGGGTGTTTCCTTGGAAGAGTGTTTAGGTCCCAGGTGTCCCGTCTAAAGTGGTTTTCTATATGTAGATAACTGCTTTGGAGCAGAATCTCACGTTGGATAATTTGATAAGGCATGGGTATGTGTTAGTGAATCGGTGTTTTATGTGTTGTGTCGATGCGGAATCGGTGGATCATTTGTTCCTGCATTGTCCAGTGGCATTGCGGCTATGGGGTTTTTAGTTTTTCACTCTTTGGGGTTGTTTGGGTTCAACCAAAAGGGGTATTGGATATGCTTTGGGTTTGGTGGAGTGCTAGGATAGGACGTCGATGGCTATGAGTGTGGCTATTGGTGCCGTTTTGCTTGATGTAGCTTGTATGGTTGGAACGAAATAGACGAACTTTTCAAGAGGTTTATCATTGTGCTCTTTGGTTGAAGAATCGGCTTCTTATAGTCATATATAGTTGGTTGGAGAGAACGGTTGATCTAGATTTGTTTATTTTTTTAGATTTTCTAGATGATGGCCTCGTTTGGTGTAACTGTTAAAACATATTATAGATTATACCTTAACAAATTATAGATTATGTGAGTGTTTGGGAAGTGGGCTTTTATGTAGGTTTTTTTAGTGGTAGGATATTATTGGAGAAAATTTTTTTTGTGTTTGGAAAGATAGTTGGGTTTTTATGTAGTTGGATGTGATATTTGTGAGAGAAAAAGTGAAATGATTATGAGGTTAGATGTGATTGTTTGTTTGAATTTGTTTTTTTTTTTGTTTTGCAAAAACTTTGTCTTTTAGTGGAAAAAAATCAAAAAAAACCCAAAAAAAAATCTTGCCAAACACCGCCTATGATTTTAATCAGAAGCTATTAATCTGCTTGGTATAACTGTTGGATTATAGATTTAAGTTGCTGAGTAATATTTGTTAAATAAGCCGTGAGGTAACTTTTTCAATTAACTTTTATTTTTTGTTATTTACTACTTGTCTACATTTCTCATTAAAAATAATAATAATAATCTATAGTCTATTAGGGTCATTTTCTATTTTTAAAAAATTAAAAAAAATCTAAGAGTATAATCGTAAATTAACATGTCCACAGCAGAAACTGATAATCAGAAGCTAGGGTGAGCAACTTTTCAGAATCAATTTTTTTGAGTTAAAAAAAGTTGTTAGAATTAGAAACTGTTTGAAATAAGTTTAACCAAACAATCCAAAATAACTTTTCGAAAGTTAGAAACTATAAGTTGGCTTAAAAAAGCCCAAACAAACACCCCCGATATAATGGGGTAGTGCTAGGGTTGGGTTTCCCCAATTGGGATACATTTTTATTTTGTTGCATCATCTTGATGCCTTTTTATAAATTGTTTTATTTATCAAAAAAAAAAATGTTAAAACTAATATTCTATGAAATTATAATACATATTTATTTAAGTCACACTAAATAAGGCTAAAAAATTTTCTATTGAATTATACATATGTCGCAACATACTTCTTCATCGTTTTTTTTAATTATTTTATTTTATTTATTTATTTTGATAAATTAAATAATTTTAATTTCTACATGTTTTTAATTTAAAAAAAAAAAAACAATAAAGCATATTAAATATTTCAAATCACAATTTAATTTTAAGTTACTAATTCTCCGTCCAGTTTAATTATTATTTCTACTATCAAATAGAGTACTTATTTTGCTATGTTATAATCTATGTTACATGGACTCTTCAAATTAAATCAAATACCCGTGTCGGACACCCGACACTCGGACAAGGGTATGGGATATGTGTCGGATACTTTTTAACGGATACTTCTTATATAATTGTATATAACACTATTATTATATGTATATATTGTTATATAATTGCTATAAATGTCATTTTGACACTATAAGTTAAATATAATACCATTTTATCTCACATATTAGATTAAAAATATAAAAATATGACATTTTTTTGCCGAGTCCGCGTATCCTTAAATTTATGATTTGATGAGTCCGACCTCGAGATACATACCCGCACCCGACACCCGTACCCGAGTCCATGTAACATAGGTTATAATTTAGTATCATATAGAATTGTCGGTTTATCCCACTTTTACATTAGGCCAAGGGTATTATATCCCATGATGACAAGTCTTTGATCTAATTTGGATTTTGATGAGTCTTCAATCCATCTTATCAGTCTGATTGGTCACTGCCTTGATGATGATGATAAAAGACCCATTGCAGATTTTATCACATTTTCACCTTACTTTTGCTAAAAAAATAATGAGCATCATGCCCCTCAATGATGAATTTAAACATTAAATTCAATAAACTTAAAGTTGACACCAAAAAGCTTCAATGTGAAAACAAAAGAAAACATATCATAAAAAAAAAATTCCCTCCATAGAACCCAACTGAACTTTTTAAATAACTGAAAGCATACCAACCGATCCTTTTCCTGGAGTTTGTGCTGCTATATATGCAAAACCCACATCTGGAAACAAGCCAATCCCATTTTCTGGCATAGCAAGCACAGTCCTCTGAAAGAAACTCATACAAGTAAAAATTAAAAACTTCCATAGTGTTTTTTTTATCTAAAAAATATATATATATATATATATATGTGCTAGAAAAGGCAACCAGACCTCGGTGATGAGCCGGTAGCGTCCATGACCAGATAGGCCAATTCCAAATCCCATTGTTATGCCGTCCATGAAGCTTATATATGGCTTTTTGTACTCAGAAATTTTACATATTAAAGAATATTCAGCAGTAAATACCTGCAAAAGGTTGGCATGATAAGCACTTATAAATTTCTTTTAACATAATAGACATAAAAATCTACTAACTAAGGCCTCGTTTGACAAGTTATTTTTAGCTAAAAAGTCAAAAAGTTACTAAAAAAGTCAAAAAGCCAACCTATACCAAAAAGTCAAAGATTTCCTTTTTTCTCTACTTTTTGCACATCGTTTCGTAAAAAGCTAAAAAGTTATCCCAAACATACTAGTTTTTTTTTACATCATATTTTAGCCAAAAAGTCAAAAAGTTACTAAAAAAGCCTATTCCCAAACGAGGCCTGAAAAAGCAATATTGCACAATGTGTGATGCAGTTGAAAGCTAAGTTAAAATTGTTATTTAATCAATTTAATGAACAAGGATGTTGACTACCATAAAGGTCGCTGAATCACACATGAGCAACAAGCCACTGTAAACTGATACTACAAAATTTAGTGTCCCACTTCCAAACTAACATGCAAACGGATGTCTTGACAAGGGAAAACAATATTGACAAACACAGAAAATGCACAGCACAAGAACCATAAAAATTTTCTAATCAACATATTATTGGAAGTAATTGAGCCAATCAAAACAAAAACAAACAATGTGCACATGCATGCAATACATGATATAACCTGTGCCCCAGAGAATTCCATATTCCTCTGAAGGTCAGCATAATCTCAATTATTTTTTAGCTGTTTTAGAAAGTTATAAGTTAAAACAGTACAAATCATAGACGAAAATAACTAAGCAGTATCAACTAGAGAAATGCCTACCATCATTTGGAAGGCAGCCATCACCCCATTTCCATCCTGAGAACAGAGGATTTATAGCAAGGCAATAGTGCTTGGATTAAAAATTACAACAGCTTAAGCATGGTGCATTCACAGCATAAACACCCGATATCATATGTTCTTTGTAAAGATTGATGATAATATCAATGAAATACAAAATACCACACCCCATAGTGACTAGCATGCCTGTCACTTGTCGGTTTAAGCCCTATGTCCACTGTAGTCTGTATGAGACATTATTTGAACACTCGACAGATGATTCATATTTATTGCTTTAAGGAGGTGTATAAAACAAGAAAATTTTAAATTTGTTAAACAAATACTAGTTTAAGTGACCACTTTGCGCACAATTCCTTTGTAACATCAAACCATATGATTGCTCCAATTGCTACAAATTTACAAGCATACTAAACAAGAACGCATGTGTAGCTGGAGTCCAGTGTCTAGAATTTGCTTTGTTTTGGTTCTTTTGATAAGCAAAGTTGGGGTAATGTCAGTTCTGACACTTCTATTGGAATATGAACTTTGTTCATGCCCACATATCAAAGGCTAAATAGCCGGCACAAATTGGTAAGTGGTTTGTGGGAGATTGACGGTGATTGTATTGTAGTGATCGCCATCATTTCAATCTAAGCATAATGCTGACACTGCAAATAATAAGCTGCAGTCATCAGCCATAATAAGCTGAACTTGGTGAAGTACATATGCTGAATCTGCTGATAATTAATTAAAAGAACACAAAAAGACCTCAATCACATCTGACACTTGGTTTTTGGCCGCGATCGTCTTTACATCACCACCTGCAGATAAACTGATGATCTAAGACTTCGGTTATCAATTAGACAATTTTTTACTAAACCATACTAGAAAAAAGCAATGCTGTCAATTACACAACATGCATCGGACAAAGCAACCAAAGTCAAGTATGCAATAGTGCAAGAAACATTGATATAACAACGAACAATAGACAAGCATTGACCCATACAAGACACTCGTAGCACAAAAACATATGAATTATTAATAAATAAATAAAAAACCTTCTGCACAAGAGGTGTATTTTTGTCCTGCAGAATTTCAGCAACAACCCCCTTAATATCCATGCCTGCATTGGCCATGAATGGTTACCCTCAAAACCTTATAGAACACTCTATATAACCCCCAAAAAATAGAAGAAAAATAAAAAATATATATAGATTAAATCATTAAGAAGTTCACTATAGATAAATTTCAAATGAAACAAAGGGCTGAATGTAATTATCTAATGTTGAAAACAATATCCACTTTATCCTTGTCACCTGCTGAAAAGGCACGTGGTGAGCTGCTCTCAACCAGAACACATTTCACCTTAGGATCTGCTTCCCATTTGTCAAGAAAACTTTTGTATTTGATATCCATCTCTGCATCATAACACATTTACAATTCAGTGCAATCAGACCACAAGTAAAAGTCTAAAAGAACAAAGAATCACATACACACTTAAACTTTAGAGTGTCTGGTATCACCCCCACAGCTGCTGGTTAAATAACACAAAATGAGCACATGGCATGAAATATCTTTTAAAACCAATTAAGTGATAAAAATCTCAGCAAATGCACAGGAATTTCAGGTTGTCCCTAAAACAGGTAAAATCATGAGTAAAAACAGCAAAGTCACTCGAAGAATTATAGTTTGCTGCTATGAATTAAGAAAATGCTAAATCCAATCCAATCCAATCCAATCCAAGTTGTATGAACCACTGCAAATTTTTCGACAAAACTTTAAGCACATCTTCGGCTATGGTTGTGATACAAACTCCACCATAAGTCTCAAGGGTGCACATTGATTCATGTCAAATTTGTAAGAGTAAACTGTCACTTTATCCCTCAAACTTTGATTAAAATTCCAATGTTATCTTCGAACTTCAATAACATTGAGGTTATGGGTTCAAGTCTCGGAGCAACCACTTTGTGCACTATGCCAAACGTTAGGTGTGTACCCAATCTTTCCCCTCCCAAACAAACATTAATGTGTACTATTTAGGCGTCGTTTTTTTTACAATCACATAAGAGTTGCTTAAGCTAATGTTGATTGAATGATTAAGAAAACACTTAAGAGAATTGAATTAATCCACTAGTCTATCAACTTGCTTTTGTTATATCTTAAATTAAAGTTGAAGCTCAACCAGAATTGCCATTGGTCTCCTCTTTCCAACTTTAGTGGTGTTTGGGAAGCCATATCCCAAATTTTTTTCTCATTTTTTCCACTAAAAGACAAAAGTTTTGCAAAACCAAAAAAAACACATCCAAACAAAATATCACATCCAACCCCATAATCATTTCACTTTTTCTCTCACAAACATCACATCCAACCACATAAAAACCCAACTATCTTCCCAAACACCAAAAATTTTTTATCTCCCCCCCCCCCCCCCCCCCAACATGCACACACTTAAACTCTCTGCCAATGTATTAAGGCATGTTTGGCTTGGCTGTTGCATGATATACTTTTTTTTAAGTATTAGAAAACAACATTTACAAAACAATGAAACGTCATTCTCTAAATTTCACAAAAATCAGAAATGTTTTATATGGAAATGAAAATCAATCAGCCCTTAATTGCCGTAGTAATTAGTAACCTAATTAGGGCTTTTGGCCTAGTTGTTGTGTAGCACTACTTTGTGGTGTGAGATTGTGGCTTCAAAGAATTTTGATACCTTGGTGTTGTCCCCTTCGCCCACTAACAGCTAACAGCTAACAGCTAACCCTCTATGTATAACGTGTGACAAAATAAATAAATAAAAAATAATAACCTTCCAAAATTCAATCAATCACATCCTCAATAAACCAAGTCTGAACTTAAATTTAATCTCGCATTGGTCATTATTAAGCACATCAATTATACAAGATCATCATACCTGTAATTTTAGAAAATGAATTTGTTTGGACAATACCTAAAGTGTAAATCCCACTATTTTCACCTATCAAAAAGTGTATTGCTCACACATTCAAAGAGTTTGTGAAGTGTGAACAAAATGGGACTCGTAATTTTAACTCAGTTTCTAATCAAAACCTAATCACAACTATTAGTAAGTGTTCATAGGCGCATTTCTACACATACAGATAGAAGGTAATACGGAAGAATTAACTACACAAAATACACTAAACAATCGAAGTCTTGTATAAACCATGTCCTGACTTAAAACTCATTCTCTGATTGAACATTGTTAAAGTACAAACCGTTCCTAATTGGATCATCAAAACTCTAATTCAAATCCATTTCCGATCAACAACAACAACAACAACAAAAAATTCACAAAAACATACCTAGGTTCATGGCGTTGAGGGCTTTGGGGCGGTCGAGAGTGATGACAGCGACGCCGTTGGGGAGGACAGTTCCCTTGACGAACTCGTCACTAGCGGCCATGATCGCGAAGCTTCGAAGAGAGAGAAATGTGTTGTGGAGAGAGAGGTTACAGAAATGGAGGTGTTTAGAGAGAGAGCGACGAGAGTTGGGAGAGAAGAAGAGAGTGGATGATCGGCTCAGGAGGAGCTGAGAAGCACCTACTACTAGGCTTCGCATGCTCTTATTTTGCTTGAGAAGAGTAACGGAGACTGGGAAGAGTGAGATGTGTGTCAGAGTGTGTTTGTGTGATGTTTTCAAAGTATTCGACCAATTTACGTTTCGGATCATTCGGTTCGGAGGCCCACGGCATGCCCAACCGCCTATTACCCGCTCCAAACTTGTACCCATTGATGGAACGAACCTACTTGGCTAGTAATTATTGTGCTCACGTCTCATATATTAATGATTTTTTTTAGTTTTGACTGGTTGGCGTGTTGATGTTAGGGATGGCAATTTAAACTTGGTCTGACGGGGACTCGATCTCTCACTCCTGATTAGAATAAATTTTTTCCAAAAAATATCCTTGTGGGGACGGGGATTAGTATTCAAGCCTCGGCCCATCTCCGTCCCCGGCCCCGAATTTCCCCAAAATAAAAATTATTATTTTACATCTCTCTCTCTCTCTCTCTATATATATATATATATAAACCAACCCTCGTCTGTCACTCACACAACCCACTGTATTTATGCCTACTACAATTGATTTTATCATCCATCACTGCCTTTTATCTCTCTCTCTCTCTCTCTCTAAAACCCTCTGTCGATCTCCCTCCTCCTATCACCGTGATCTCCCTCCTCTCCTTCCTCCCATCACCACGACCTCCTCTTCCGAATCACCGCCACCATCACCACTATTTGCGGCAGTTGCAGTGACACCATCTAATCCAACAGCCTCCTTCTCCGTCGCCTCTTGTGGCCTCCTCTGTCGGCTCCGTCACCTCTCGCCTCCCCCTCTCTCTGCCATGGCAGATCTAAGAAGATCCCTCTTCCGCCATCGTCAATTTCGTCCCTCCTCCGCCAGATCTGTCTCTATTTTTTTATTTTTTTTTTTGATGATGTTGCTGCCTTGATAATGTTGTTGATGATTTTTTTTTTTTTTAAGATGTTGATGTTTTTGTTGATTGATGATTTTTTTTTTTTGTGGTGATGTTGCTGAATGATGTTGTTGATGATGAATATGGGGATTTTCCAGGGTCAAGGAAACCCGATCCCCGTTGGGGGCGGGGGTGGGGGGAGTGATGAATTCCCCATCGGGGATTGGGGCCAGGGACAGGGATTTTTGTAGTTTCGGGGATCGGGAACGGGGAGGGTGATCCCTAAAATTTGATGACCCCTACCAACTAGATTTGAATAAGTCTTGGAATGAACCTCAATTAGACTCGTGAACTTGCTCGTGAGTCCATAAATGAGTGATTTTATTTGTACTAAATTAGTAACTCAATACGGTAAACTAAAATTTTTAAAAATTATTTCTTGTTATACCTTAATATAATTTTACTAATAAGGACAATATATATTAAGGGGTTGTTTGGGATGATCTAAATAAGTGTACTTTTTGACTTTTTATGAAATATGGGTTGGGTTTAAAGTGATGTGGTAGAGAGGTGATGTGATTTAAATAAGATGATGTGACTTAAATAGGATAGTAACTTTTTGACTTTTTTGTATTATGCCAAACTTAGCCTAAATCGTAAAATAAAATATTTTTTTCTCATAATACACACAAATCACTTATATATATTATTCATATTCAAATCTCTTCTATTTTCTTTCTCAATTTCAATAATTTTCTCTTCATCTTCTTCCTCACTCCAAAATTTAAATCCATCCCATCAAAACTCACAATTATCATTAACATCATTATTTTTTTATTGTATTGTTACTTATAAATAGAAAAAATTTAAACAAAATTAAATAATGAATAAAAATAATAATCAAAAGTATTTTTTTTAAATAATCCATCAAAAAAGGGTTTATATATATATATATATATATCAAAAGGAGTATGAACATGAATGACTGGAACTATAGTCCATTAGATATGTGCATCAGTTAGAAAAATTATAGGAAAAAGATAATTTGATTTCGCAAGTGTTAGACTTCGTCTAAAAGGAAATGAAGTTAGGGTTCCAGCAAATTTTAAAACGGGTCCTGTTGCAGTGTGCAACCCATTAAGAGTTGCACACCATATGCATCTTCATTATTGACCATTGGATTACTCAAATTGATCCTGACCATTGCATGCTTTAATTTTGAAAAATTGGACACCGGAGCAACCGGTTGACCCATCTCTATTCTCTCTCTACTCTCACTTTCGTCTCTCTCTCTCTCTCTCTCTCTCTCTATGTCGCCCCCCCTCTCTCTCTCTCTGCTACCCCTTCCTTCCATCTTTTCCCCTGCTCCTCTCCGATCTTTTCTCTCTCTACTGCGTTCATTCCTCTCTCTTTCTCTGGCTCGACTGAATGCAGGCCGAAGTGGTTGTTCTGTTTAAAATCCTAATCTAACCCAATGAGCCTCTGCTTGGTTTTCAAGAAAACAAAGGATTTTTTGTTTTGAAGAGCAATCAACAAGGTATGCCTCCCTTTGATTATTTCTGAAACCCCCTCTTCTAAAACTATCTTCTTCTCCATTTTTTACTCTATTTTCTCTCTCTGAATTTGTATTCCAGTCTCTCTTGGCTCACATTGGTTTGAAATTTGTACAAATGAAGTAAGGCTTTTTAAGAATTTTATTTTATTTTGCTATTTATATATCTCGGTTGACATTTATAATGAAATAATCTATTTTTACATTAATTAATATAGTATTTTATAACCATTTTGTTGCTTCCATGACTTGTTCTTGATTTGTTGGAAAATATTTCATCTTATTTTGGCATTAAAATTATAGGGCTAATTATGTTATTTAATTTTGATTGCATTTAAGATGTTTGTAAAAATGCCTAGTTTGTTAACAATTTAAACAAAATTATTTTGGAACTATATTTTCATTGCATTTAGATGTTGTTGAAAACTTGTGATTTATTTAACATGTTTTCCGAAGATTTATCCCAAAATATATTTAGTGATATTCACACGAAGGCTATAACATGTGGTTAGGACCTCCCAATTTGTAAGTTAGGGCAAATAGTTATTCCAAGTGTTTTTGGTAATGTGTAGTACTTATTGTTCTAGTTGAATTAAATAGCCATCTGAATTAAATCTTTTGTTTGATTGGTTTATATATATATATATATATGTATGTATTGAAAAGCGAACGTAGTTCACATACAATAGAAATACTTCCAAATATGCTAATCAAATAGTGCTTGAACTTCATTTGTATCATTCTTTAAGCATGAGCAGTTGACAAGATAACGAGAAAGTGACTCTAACCAACAAAACAACTTTGAAAAGCTAAAAAGAATTGAAGTATATGATTTTAAATTTTAGGTAAAAAGTAGTCAACGTGAAGCTTATGCTTAATAAAATGAATTTTCGCATCCTTTTTCCTAAGTATACTAATGCTAAGAGAATCCATGAATTATTATCTTCCCTCTAAGTGTGGTGGCTTTCCTAGCAACCATGAAAGATTAGTGCAAAACTTTAGAATTGAAGTAGTGGGTAGTGTGAGAAAGGGAAAATTTTGAATTTTTCTTCCTTTGTTTGTTTGCATGATAAATTTACCATGATAATGTTGGAAAATGTAAGATTGTTAAATTGTGTATAATCTATAGCAACATGGTAAGTTGCTTTTCAATTTCTTGCAAAATATACATAAATGTTTCTTGCAAAAAGCAAAGAAATTTTTTTTTTCCCACTATTTTGTCACTTTTGATTTCCTATCTAAACATGTAGCTTTTTACACTTGGTTAATTTTAACCTAACGAACTGTACTTTGTTTTTCGAGTAACGTTCTTATGATAAGGGATGTGCATAGTAGCATTTCCCTTATATATGTATATTATATACTTGTAAAATCTATATAACAAAATAGCTTTGTTGATGGGACATCTATCCTAAGTGGCGATGAATTTAAAGGTTGAGATTAATCTGTCTTCTTATCTTCACCGTTGGATATAGCTTGAAACTTGAAACCCATTTCACTCTCCCTTCCCCGTTGGATATGGATTTTCAGATCTGTCTTCTTATTTTCTATCTTCAGATTTTCAAAACATTTCAAACCCATTTCATTCTCCCTTCACCGCCCAAAACCCATTTTATCAACACTGTTTCTCTCTCTTTGCTACAGTGGTTGTATTCAAACCCATTCAGCATCACTGCTTGGCGGTTCTTCATTGTTTCACCGGCTCTTTGTTGCTTTGGTGGTTGTCATCGATAACAGTTGTTCGCCTTCAGGTAACACCTCTCTCTTCCTCTCAAGGTCTCAGTCCTCCCTCTCTTTCCAACCCCACCTTAAACTCCCCACTCTCGGTGGTTGTTTCATTTATAAATTTTCTTTGTTGTTTTAACAAATCAGACATTTTTGGGGATTAATCTTCTGTTGTGTTAAATTGATTTTTTCCCCTCAACTTAAATTTATTTTGTTTGATGTTCTCAACTTATATTTGTCAAAATCATTTATCTAAAGGGCTGCGTTTCTGTTTCTAAGGGTTGTTTTGCCAATAAAGGGCTGTGTTTGATCTAAACAGTTTTTTTTTTCCTGTTTAAACGCTTAGTTTGTTGTCATATTTTTTGTTCATCTTACTTTCTTTGTTCATCTTAGTTTGTTGTTGTTTTCTCTCATCTTAGTTTCTAGACTGTTGGATTAATCAAGAAATCAAATATTTTGGGGATTAATCAATAAATCAAACAAATATTTGGGTTAGACAGTTTTTGGCCAATTAGACCAATATTTTGTGTCTGTGTTTCTAAGGATTTGAAAATATTTCTATCTTTTTTTTTTTTTTTGGGTGAATAAGTTATAAACATTCGTCTTAAACACAAATACAACAGCAGGCTATCAATGTATCAATGTATCACAAACAAAGTTTGACAACAAAAACTTATAGAAAAAATTACACTTACACAAGAAGTTATCAATGTATCACAAACAAAGTTTGTGGCCTGCTTTATATCACAAACCATGAAACCATATGTATCACAATCTGTTTAGGGGCCACATAATTGGGTTATGTGGACCATGAACACAATCAGGGTATATTCCCTTGCACAGCCTGCAAGGGTAGGCTAAAAAAAACTTAGTATGAGCTTAACAATTTCAGAAAATACCTTATCCACCCAAAAATAAAATTCCCAGCAGCCATTCTTT